TGGGAAGTCTGCACAGTGCAGCCTTTCTCTCCCCCGGTGGTCTGATCCGGAGACAGATCCAGCCACTGGCGCTGATGCCGGCGCCAGCGCTCGGGAAGGACTTGGGGCCAACAGAAAACAACAGGTGAGCTTCTGAACAGTCCCCTTCTGTGCACGGGCAGGGTGTCCGCCTGGGCGCCTGCCTGCAGGGCCCCACGGACTTCCAGAACCTTCTGTCTCTGCAGGTGTCTGAGGCCTTGGCCTCAGCGCTTCAGTGACCCATATTTGATTACCTTTCAGGTTTTGATAATTCATCATTCCCTCCTTTCTGAAAACCTAGAATGAAAGTTTAGCAGCTCAGCGGCCCGGCCTCTCTCCATTCTGTCCCCGACACATCGGCCTATTTGTTCCCTTTCTTCCCCGAGCTTCCTGTCGCATTCTGCCCGGTCAATGGGGAAGAGTGAAACCGGATGGCTGGACCCAGTGTGGGGAAATGACTTCAGAGCCACCTTTGTTTCCGCTCATTCCTTTGAGCGCACTTGGCCCGGGGCCTCCGAAAGGGCTTGTTTGAACCCTTGGAGCCTCCAGCGAGCGGGAGAGGCCTAGCCAGAATCGCTCCCATCTTTTCAGGCTGCCTGAGACTCTGGGTTAAACTGCCAAATTTTTGCAACAAAACTAACCATGACATCGGACATTGTGTTATAAATTAGCCACAGCCTTCCAAGCAAATTGTGTCTTTTCATTGTGCTGGTGTAACCCTTTGGAGCACTTGGCCCCAGCTCCCGACTGCAGGGGACTCGGAGAATGTTTGTGTTCTGCCCCAAACCAGCCCTCCAGACACGGAGTGGCCTGTGCGAATACACACAGCCGAATTCCCCGTTATTCTCAGCACCCTGTTAGCAGCACACCGGCCCGTTCTCTGCCTAAAATCTGGCTGATGAGCTTTTCGGCTTCGGTGTGGCAGGAACTATCTCTGACGGGCTTTAAAACAAAAAGATGTTCTTCCCCTTTTTTGGGCTTTTCACAAGGATAATGTGAAGTTTCTCTTACAGAAGATTCCTCCCCAGATGCTCAATGGCGGGTAACAAGCTGTGTCTCCTGTGGGACTCCAACGAGTGTTGGACTCACGGAGGCAATGGCGACCTCCGCGACTGGTGGGCACCCTGAGTTCCTGGCCGGTCACCAACAGCCAAGCTTTTATTACCTTAAAAAAGAAGCTGAAAGAAATACTCAAATGCCACCTAATATCTTTCCCTAATTTTCTTTTAACTTTTTTCCATATTAAAAAAAAGCTCACAGAACAAATCTGGACTTAGAAATAATCATAAGTAGTAAACTTTCTTAAAATCGGGTCCAAATGGCATTTATTTAAAATAAAAGAGAATAAACCTCCTTATAATATTTAAAAAACATGTCCAGTGCATTTGATAATCTTTACTGTTTTAATCAGAACACAGGAGATTACATTCTGGCCTATGGCCTGCCACACAGAAATAAGGACAATAATGTAATAAAGTTACAATTATTAAGTAACTTTAAGACAACACTGTAAATAACTATAAATGTCGCATCAGTTCATACAAGTCGATTAACTTGCACTCCTTTGCAAATGAACATAATTCCCATTCTTTCCAATTTTCCCAGCAGGAGCCTCAGTTTAACCTGAACTGTCTCTGAGTATGACTCAGATCCTCTCACGATGGTCCCGGGTGAGAGGGGACCGCTTGTCTGTAAGAGCTCCGCTCCATCCATGCAAGAACACTCACCACAGCGTGAACCCCGTCCCCCTCCCCATTTCTGTCTCTACTGCTCCCTCCCCCCCACCCACAAGGAAGCCCAGTGCCCGCTGCTGTTCCGGCCAGGCCGGCGTTGGACCGGAGCGAGACGGGAACCTAATCCAGGGCCAGCACTGGCTGTAGCTGCCACTTCCCAGAGAGACGGCATGAATGTCAACGCCTCCTGGGTAACTGAAACTTTCCGAAGGATTTCTCCCTTCTCAGCAGAAAGCAGCACTTTGAAAAATGGCGCGTTTTAGCAAGACGACCTTTCACACTTGGCTGGCCTTCTTCAGGAGGGCCGTGTCGAAGGGGGACAACGGGGTCTTCTTTGGGGGGGGCAAGACTTGCAGGGCAGGTGGACAGGCTTCGTCCAAAACACAGGTTGCCTCTCACAGAACCCACGGGCTTCAGGTCCCCACTGTCTGCCATCGCGAAGGTTCGGGCTTCTGGACCCAACACAAGGTGGGCTGCAGGGCTGGGGGCTGGTGGGGAGAAGGGGCCGGGGACCCTCTGGGTTTCTGTGAGAGGAGAAGGAGGCCAAGGACACACACGGAAACTGGAGCCGCGCACACACACACACACACGCACACACGCGAGGCGTTGTTAGGGTGGACACGAGCTGCTCCCCAAGCATGTGCTGACTGTGAGCCGCTGGGCAGCTGCCTCCCTTTCGGACAACCGCAGGGCCCTGCCAGGGGCCACAGTGACAGCTGGCCCTGGCCAGCTGTCGCACTTTGCATGCTGCTGGAGCTCCAGTCCAGCAGAAGGGACCCCCATGTCACCAGCTTCTTCAGCAAGCACCAAATTCTGTGCCCAGGCTGGGCCGCATGGCCACCCACAGCCATCCCCCTGAGACCCTGTGCACACGCCCCGGCCAGTGTGTCTGAGTGATGGTGTCGTTGGCCGGGGGTGGCAGGAGCACTCCTTCCCCACGATGGACATGCAGTGTGGTCAAGGGCTAAGGGGGACCCCCAGGGACGGCCCAGTGAGAGGGGAGCTATGGGGGAAGAGTCCCATGGCTGCTTCCCTCTCTGATTCCGGGGGCGCTGCTGGTGCGGATGAGAAATGTCCAGGGTGCTGTCTGGGCCACTCAGTTGGAGCTCGGCTGCTGTCTCTCACCCGCTTCCACTTCCTGTGGGCAGGACATGGACAGGGCAGGAAGCCAGATGGGAGGCCTTCCCCAGCTCAGCACCTCGGCCTCAGGCACAGGCTTCCTCAGCGTGAGAGTGGGCATGGCCAAGGGACCGACCTGGGTTCATGGGTCGGTGTCCCAGGGACCCTCTCTTCTGGGACGTGGCTGGAACCCCTGAACTCATGAGTCCTGGCTTGCTCTAGGCTGGCTCTGCCCACCCCCTTTTCATCCATGACCAGTCCTTCCCATCACGGCCCCTCCCCCCACACCTCAGCTCCCTGGAAGCCCAGTCCAGCTGGAGGGACTCCCCCTGGGATTTCCGTACAGATGGTTTGAAAAGGTGATAGTCAGTAGGGTGTTAAACCTCCGCTAGAAAGTCTGAAGGCGATTTCCTTGGTCTCTCTCCTTCTTGTCTAGTTCTGCTTGGGGTCACAGCCCCTTTCTGCCCAGGCCTCTTCCTTTCCTCCTAGGCAGGACCCCCAACATCATGCCAAGTCAGGGCCCCCGGAGGCAGGGGTCCTCCCCTCTCTATGATGCCCACAGGACACTTGTGGACTGACACACTGTTGGGAGTTCGAACATTCCTAGGGATAAGCTTGAACTAGTGGAGACTTCGGACCACGCTCACACGCCTGCCCCGGGGGCACGGGGCGGTTGCGAGGCACCGATCGGGGCTGTGGGAGGGCACAGAAACGGAACGGGGACCCGCCCTCAGAACAGGCCCCGCCAGCGCAGAGGTGGCGACCAGTCGCATTAAACAGCCCCCGGGGTGACCGGCTACCTTACGGGACGGCAGAGTTCAGATGCAACCGGCCACCTGCTCCGTGCCACTCTGCCAGGAGATGACGGCAAGGTGCCCCGGTGACAGGGTAGAAACATTCACAGTCACCAAGTGAAGCTATTGTATTTGGGGGGAGCAAACAACTCAGTCCCGCCCCCTCAATGGGTACATGTTGTGTTGTTTTGTTTTGCTTTGTTTTGTTTTTTTCCTAATGAGAGGCCAATCGCTGTGTGGGTTTTTGCTTAAGCAAGAGCCCTGTCACTGATAAGATGAACACCCGTCCCTTGGGGAGGAAAGGAACCAGACCAGGGGACTCCTTGGCCCCCAAATGCCTTCTCATCGAGAGGGAAGCAAGAGGCGGTGGAGGGGGGCAGCCACACGCATGCCACTGGCCGTCGAACCCAGAAATTTTGTTCTTGAAACTTGGTAGAAATGGAAACAAAATTATATTTTTAAACCCTGGCAGGAAATCAGGTATTTTAAAAAACAAACAAACCATGTCACGGCCAAGTTCATAGCAGCATTAATCAGGAGAGCCAAAAGGTGGTAGAAGCAACCTGAGTACCTCAGCATGCATAAATGGGTAAACAAAGCGAGGCATTCACCGGCCAAGGAGGGGAATGTTACTCAGCCCTAAAAAGAAAGTAAATTCTGACGCACGCACTGCCTAGGATGAGGACGCTGCGCTAAATGGACTAAGCTGGTCAGTGAAGACCAGTAGTATGGTTCCACTTCCAGGGGGCACCTGGAGTCCTCAATGTCATGGAGGGAGTAGGGGGTTCCCAGGGATTGGCGGAGGGGGAAGGGGAGGGCAATTGTTGTTTAATGAGATTAGTTTCAGTTTTGCAAGATGAAAAAGGGTTCTGCGGGTTGGTTGCGTAACAGCGGGAACGTATGGAGCACCACTGAGCTGCCCACTTAAAAATGGTTGAGGTGGAGTATTTCACGTTGTGTGTCTTTGACCGTAGTTTGCAATAAGCACATGCACACAGGTATGTGCACCGAAGAGTCGAAGCAGAGAGGGAAGGAGGTAGGCACAGGAGTCTCAGTTTCACCGCTGCAGCCAGAACTCCGTGAACCGCGCGTCACCCGAAAAGACGCCTCTGGTCCCTCCCTCCCCGGCGCGTCCCGTGACCAGGGCGCTCACAATAACCTCCTTTAGCGGTGCCAGCCGCGCCTCCGCGCCCGCTTCAGACCGGTGGCCAATGAGCACGAGCCTGCGCCCGGCCTCGCGCCCCGATTGGCTGAACCCAGCTGCCCCGGGCCCCGCAGGTTCCCAAATCGGGTTTAAAGGGGTCCGGGACTGGCAGCTGCTTTGCCGTCAGCTCCCCGCGCGCAGGTCCGCGGGGAGGGGCAGTCTGCCCAAGGGTCCACCCCAGGGCGTTTCCGAAGGGCGCCCTTGGCTGCCCCCATTACCCCCCAGATGTACTATGCGGTTTCCCAGGCGCGCATGAACGCGGCCCCCGCGACCATGCTGCAGCCACAGCGTCCGGGAGACGTGCAGCTGGGAGCGTCCCTGTACGAGTTAGTGGGCTACCGGCAGCATCCCTCCTCCTCCTCTTCGTCCGCCTCCTCCACAACGGCCCCTCTTCTCCCCAAGACTGCTCGTGAGAAGCCCGAGATGCCCGCCGAACCTCCGGGCTCCGGAGCGGGGCTGGGAGCACACGCCGGCGGCGGCTCGCGGGCGGACCCCAAAGAGGAGCAACAACAGCAGCTGCGGCGCAAGATCAACAGCCGCGAGCGGAAGCGCATGCAGGACCTCAATCTGGCCATGGACGCGCTGCGCGAGGTCATCCTGCCCTACTCGGCGGCGCACTGTCAGGGCGCGCCGGGCCGCAAGCTTTCCAAGATCGCCACGCTCCTGCTCGCCCGCAACTACATCCTGCTGCTGGGCAGCTCGCTGCAGGAGCTGCGCCGCGCGCTGGGCGAGGGCGCCGGGCCGGCCGCGCCGCGCCTGCTGCTGGCCGGCCTGCCCCTGCTCGCCGCCGCGCCGGGCTCCGTGCTGCTGGCGCCTGGCGCCGTGGGGCCTCCCGAGGCGCTGCGCCCCGCCAAATATCTGTCAGTGGCGCTGGAGGAGCCGCCGTGCGGCCAGTTCGCGCTCCCCGGAGGCGGCGCGGGCGGCCCCGGCCTCTGCACCTGTGCCGTTTGCAAGTTCCCGCACCTGGTCCCGGCCGGCCTAGGCCTGGCCGCAGTGCCCGCCCAGTTCTCCAAGTGAGCGCCCTCCGGCCCGCGGCGCGACCTCGCCACGGCCTCCCGCCGCCCAGCTCCTGCGCGCCCCCGCGCCCTGCGCCCAGGACTGCTGCGCCAGCAAGGAGCGCCTTCGGAACCTGCTCTCCCAGAGAAGGGGACTGTCGGGCTCCCCCTTGCCTGCCCCCACCCCAGGGAAATTAAAGTGACCCGAGCGGATGTTCGACGGAGCGTCGGCGCTGTGGGGGGCCCGGGTCAATTCCAGCTGCTTTGGGCAGCGAGTGCGCTCCTCCTTCACTCTCACCCTGTTCCCTGGAGCTGTGTGCTTCGCTTTTAGGGAGCCGCGTTCGCCCTGGGTGCGGCGGGAGGCCAGCTCCAGGTGCCGCAGCTCACAGAGGCGACACCTGCAGAGCCAGTGGACCAAAGGACTGAGCTCCAAGGGCAGGGGAGGGGTTATTTCCGTGTCTTCCCCGCGATCCCCGTGCTAGAGGTCACAGGCATCCCTGTTCCCACCAGGTAAACCCCGTCCAAGGAAGCTGCCCGACCTCAGGAGGCGGAGAAAGACCAGGTAGTCGGTGCAGTGTCCGGGCAAAGCAGACGCACCGGCCCTCTGCGCCCGATGGGAGCCGGCCGTGACACCCTGGGGTCGTTCGCTGGGCTGCTGGTTTGGAAAGTGGGTCCGCTTCGGTGCCGGGTTGTTCGAGTGCAGTTTTGGAGGGTCGCAGAACGAGGTGTGCTGTTGCAGAGCTGACTGGCTCCGAAGTCCTGGGGTCCCCCTCGAAGGACAGTGTAGAACTCCAGACTCCCCGTTTTGTTGCCCCGCCCCCCCCCCCAAGCAACCTTGGAACTTGCTTCAAAGCCAAAACCGGCCTGCGTTGGCGCACTCCGCGGCAGGGTTTGCCGAAGTAGGCAACGGGGCCCTTCCCAGCCGCCAGCAGGTCAGGAAGCGCGGTAGCCAGTTAACGTTCTCTCTTACTAAAAGACGAGGAGGGCGACCCGGGCCCCAAGCCGCCCTGGGCTCGGGGTTCCCGCTGCGGTGGCAGTGGCAACCGTGGGATGTAGTTTTCTGCGCTGTCCTCTTGCCCTGTGGGGTCTTCTGGTCTTTGCAGTTGAAGCACCAAGTAGGTGATTGGTCGCTGTGTGTTACCAGCATCAACAAATTACTTCGCCCACCATTATCTGACCATATGCAAGCTGTTTTGCTTTGAATTTTACGTTTAAGGTGTTTGGTTGTTGGTAGTGGCCAAATTTAACTGGCATTTTATTTTATCTTTAACTTTGTTTCCATGCACTGGGAAGACTCGAGGAAATAAAACATGGACAGACCCTTCCTGTTTCCGTCTGATCTGTGCGTTACTGAAAGTGGCCTCGTGCCCTGGTGGCTCCAGAACCACAGGGGAAGTTAACAGTTACATGACTGGGGCGCAAAATTCTTCACCCTGACTTCTGATGAGCTGAGGTTCAGGAAGTTCAGACATCAGTGAAGGGGGGGCGGGCGCCAGCCAGCAGGTGGGACAGAGGAGGAAGGGGGGCAGCAGTTCTAAGCCAAGCACCGCGGTCGGGTATTTTTTTTAATATAACTTTCTCCCCTGAAACAAAATGGGCTAAGAAATACTTTTATGATAAAATTAGGTTCGATCTTATCCTCTTTCTCCGAAATGCATCTTTTCCCTTTTACTGGGCAGAAACTGAAACAAGTCACCCAGCCATGAGCTTCCTGGGCACTTAAATCAGGTTGGACTTGTCTCCTAGGAAACGGTGACCTTGGACATCCTCTTATTCTACCAGGTGGAGAAAGCGCTTCTGCGTGCGTGGTGGCAGTAGGAAGAACTTGGAATGGCAACTTGCTCCCGGGCAGCATTTGAATATTTCATAGTTGTTAACGAAACCCAACCACTGATTAAAGCGAGGCAGATGGGAAAGGAAAAGTAGGGACGCCTTTCATCTGTAGGAAAGACAAAAAACCCGGATGCAGTGCCTTCCTTTTACCCACATGGGTTCATCTGAGGCTTGTACACATGGAGGGGAAATGAGCACTCACTCGGAACATGTAAGAGGTGGGGCTGGAAGGCCAGAGTGGCCTCCCCTCCCCTGACCACCGCCCCCCCCCAGAGTCTGTTTCCTCAAGGGGTCGGGGAGCAGGTGAGGACAGGAGAGAAACCAGCTTTGCGCACCAACCCGTTTCGGAAAGGATTTAGTCCCACACTCTGCCACCAGACAAGGCACGGCCTTCTCTGATAGGTGCATTGGAAAGGCAGCCCCCTGTCTATTCGGGGCCCTTGCTCTCCCGAATCTTGACAAGGGACAGAAGGAACGACCCCTCCTCTAACCCAGCTCCCTTGCCCAGCCACCACCTCCTCACCACCACCTCTCTCTACAGGGCCGCAAGGGCCAGTGCAGAGCCGCAGAACCCTCGGGTGGTCTCCCTCCGCTCTCTCCTGCTAGGTTGGAGCAAGCACCTGTGCCTTGTAGGAAAGGCAATTTTTTATTTAACTGAGAAAGTGTTTCTCGAGTCTCCTGAATGGCTAAAGATTATGAAGGAATTCGACAAGGACGTACAGGGCTATTGTGAGCGTCATCAAAATACTCAGGTCATCGCCTGCATGTGCCTCTGTCTGGCCCCTGTGCCCTGTAAGATTGGCAGCCGCTCCCTCTAAGGAACTTATATCCTGAAGTAGAGCGTCAGTGGGCCCTCAGGAGTCCTGTAGGATAAAGCAGATCAAAGTTACACAGGCGTGTGTGTATGTGCGTGTGTGTGTGTAGATACACATGCATACATAGTGTCAATGTGCAAAGCTAGACCTCTCGACGCAGGTCTACGGCAGGGCGGTGCCCTCCTGCAGGTACAGCGTGTAAGAGCCAGCGGTTGCTTCCTACGACCTGCCGGCAGGCCTTTTGCAGATGGAAGCAGTTTAAGCTGGTTTTTTAAGGGTTGGGAAAGCAGAGAGGGTGTAAGGCAGGCAGGCTCCTTGAGGAAGGTACACGAGGCTTCAGGAGCAAGAAGAGAAGGAGCACATGGCCGGGTGCCAGGAAAGGCCCCACTCCGGCCAATGTCCCTTCTCGGTGACAGAGGGTGATGAACCCCCAGGAAGGTACACTGGGCGGAGAAATGGTGCTGTGCCGCGCGCTTGGGGCCTGGCGAGCCCTCAGTGAGCAAAGGGCGGATGAAAGGCGCTGTGGGATTTGCCTGTCCCGTAGCGATGGCCGACTTACAGGTGTTCTCCCCTGAGGAGCACCGACAACACCAGGTATGAAGAGGTCGCCTTTTGAGGCTGCGGAGGTGCCAACGACCAGAACCTGTACTGGGGAGGCCAAAGCAGCTTCCTCAGTTTGTCCTGCTGGAACCGGGGTCTCTTGGAGACGGCACCCTGGCGGGAGGCGCGCACACTCCTCCTGCCCCTGGACAACGTCTGGGTCCTGGCCACTTCCAGCCTCCCTGCTCACCCCCTGGGGGCCCTGCGTGTGGCTTCCAGGAGAGGCAGACGCAGGACCAGTGCCCTGCCAGGCAGCCTGGCTGTACGTCGACCATCTGAGCTCTCCCTGGGAGACCTGCCCCTTCACCCCACCCCCAGGAAGGCGCGGACTGGTGACAGGTTGCTGCAGAAGTCTCCGAAATTGCAGGTTTGTCCCTGAGGTTTCAGGAGACCAGGGAGCAGGCAGCTGACAGGAAAGGGCATCAGGACAGATGGGGACAGCGTCTTGGGGCGTCTGCTCGGGGGCCACCTCTCGGGCCCCACTGTCTTGGCGGGGTGAGCGGGCATCGTCGTGCCTGGTGTTTTCATGAACCTGTGTGGTTCTCCGAGGGGCTGCTCAGCAGGGGTGAGCGCCAGCTGTCACCAGGATAGAGGACAGATAGCCTGACAGGGCCTGCCCACCCAGGGAGCACCAGCTAGGGGCAGGCCGTGGGGCCCAGGGACAGTGCTGGCCAAGGGCCCAGCACTGGGGGCAGGCAGGCCACCGTGTCCCAGGAGCTTCCAAGTAACATGAGTAACTCCTCAGAGAACGCCAGGCAGTACGACCTGCAGAATTCGAGGTCACAAGATGAGATGGGAACATTCATGTGTGAGAACGAGAGAGAAGGAGAGAGGGAGAGAAAGAGCACCCCCCCCCCCCCCCGGAGTCGGGCAGGCGGAAAGCGGAACGACACAGTAGAAACGCTGTCAGAAGCACAAACAGTGATGGCACTGACCAGAGGTCACCTCGCGTTCATCGGGGGCCACACTGTGTTCCAAGTACTTCACGTGCCTTCACTGTGTGTGCACCATGATGGCCCATTGCACAGATGGGAACACAGCCGTCTGAAGACGTGGAGACTAGGGGAGCTGAGGCCGATGAAAGGAAGCCTCCGAGGCCAGACGGGGAAAGGAACGAGGCTTCGTTTCTGCGAAGGCCGCAGGACGAGGAGGCATGAAGGTTGCACTGCCCAGGGGTCTCCCAAATCCAGGCTCGAAAGAGTTGAGCAGATGAGGAGTCAGTGAGGAAACCTGGTGGAGGTGCATCAGTGACTTTGCCACACCAGGAGGCAAAGCCAGCACCTCTGTCTCCGCGCCCGCCTCATGGACGACGGTGCAGTGTCCACCAGCTCTGAACCCCCATTGCCTGGGAACCCACCGTTCTCCTGGCCAAGAAAGTATTGGAAGGCGGCCTCTGTGGTTCCCGTCGGCCGGAACACCTGGGACCCCGGGCTCTTCCCCTGTGAGAGCTAACGACCAGGACCCACTGCAGGGGGAGAACAGGGCACGCGCGTGAACTGTCAGTGTTGCGGTTGTGTTTTCTCGTTGCTGCTCGTGGAGATGGGTCCATTGTCCACAAACCTGTGTGGGCAGTTGTTCAAACAGCAAGGTGAGCACCCCACCATTCCCGCCTCCTCTTGTGGGTCATGGCCGGGCCCAAGCCACCTGGCTGATACCGAGGAAAGCCCCCCACTAGAGCCCAGCTGCCTCTGTGACCCAGCTCCCTGGCCCAGGGCCTGGAGAGGGGCTGCCCCCCGGATCCCACTGCCAGCCGCGTCCCCGGGCGGCCCCTCAGGGTCTGGCCAGGAGCCAGTCCACCTGGAAGCCAACAGGCTGCTCCCAGGTGCAGGTTGGGCGCAGGGACAGCCCGCTTCTGACCAGCGGACAACGGGTTCTCCCAGCCGCAGGGGCCGCAGGGGCCGCAGGCCGACTGCCCGGGGAGGGCCAGCTCAGGATGGTGCCGCAGGGCGGCAGCTGGCCCGCAGCGAGGCACAGACGCCAGGCTGGTCGCATGATGTCACCGCTGAGTCATCCCTGCACATGGCGGCTGAGAGACTGGTGGGCGGGGGGAGGTGGGCACAGGCTCCTGTCACTCCCCGGTCACAGCCACCCCATGTTCCATGGAGGCTCACGTGGGCACCTGCCAGGGGCCGCATCCAAACTCGGGGATGGCACCCAAATCGAGTTTCAGCTGCGTCCAGGGCTTTTCCTGAACGTGACAGTTGCCACGGGGAAAAGGAAGGAGGGACAGAAAAAAGAAAAGAAAAGGAGAAACCTTATTAATATTCAAATTGTAAACAGTAATTGCGTTTGGTTCAAACTCTTTAATCAACTGACCAACTCAAACTGGTCAACAGCGCCCGGTCAGAAAACAGGTGTTGTGATTGACCAGACTTGTCTCCCAAGCAGAACGACACAGGCCGGGCCAGCCGTCTGCTCCCTGGGCCTGGGCAGGACTCGGGCCTCGGGAAGCAGGTAGGGCCAGGCCTGGGGAGGCCACCGAGGCCCTTCTTTGGGACAAAAAAACTTCAGGGGGCACCCCAAACACCTCGGTTGTCATCATAAATAATATTTTAGTGCGATATTTTAAAAAATCAAAATCGATGCAAAAATTCACAGGAATTTCAGAAGTTTGAGAGCACACAGGTCCAGCAATGGAGACATGGTCCCCGTGGCCCCTGCCAGTCTGCAAGGGCCACTCCCGCATGCCCCCCCCCGCCCCCCGCCAGGCGCAGCTCCCCCAGGTCCTCAGCCGGGTGAGGACGGGAGAAGTGCTCCCAGTGCTGAAGCTGGCTCCCTACCCCCAACTGCAGGGCAGGGAGCCCCTAAAAATAGACATGGCAACAGTGGGGGTGCCAGTGGCCAGCACTGTCGCCGAGCATTTCTTCAAGCCCCTCACCGCCAGGCCCGTGCTAAGGGCTCGGGGTCCGAGAAGGGATGAGACAGAGGGCGCCGGGGTGGAGCTGAGTGGGCTGGGCCGGTGGCCAGCCCCTGTGTGCTGCTGAAGCCACAGGCCTGTGTGGGGACAGGCGCCTCCTCCAGCCAGGCCTGAGTCATCAGGCCCCCACACCCTCCCCAGGTGTCACCTGGGCC